GCATCAGGTCCGGGTGGCTTCAATCTTCTCCATCAGGGCCGGATGTTACGGTGACTGAATCACGCTAACGCTCCCATACTCATGAAATAGTGTGTATGCATATAGGTCGCTGGCCAAGCTACATGTGGTCACTATTGTAAGTACACACGATTAAGATGGCGGATCCACACTGGAAAACGGCGACGTTTGTTTATATTTTTTGTTTCTTTTTGTTGGCCGACAGTTTGGTATCTTCTGCTGGACTGATTAGTAGAATGAAACGGCAAGGTGGAGTAGCTCCCCCGGCTTTATCCTGTATTAATGTTTGTGACTTGACGTTCCTGAAGAATTGCGACGACGGCTTGCTGTGTGTTTTTAACTACGCTACCTGCCGGCCGGACTGCATTGAACTATCAAGCGCCACAGCGGCAAGTTCTGAGAACGAAAGTACAACTAAACCAACAAGCTCTGTGACTACCGTAAATCTGCCACAGGCCAGTTCTACTGGACAGCCTACGAGTACAACTGCAACCACTGTTGTGCCGACTGGTGCTTTTACACCGCCACCAGTGGCTTGTTTAGATGAATGTGCTATGACGTTCTTAAAAAGTTGCGAAGACGGTCTGCTTTGCGTTTTTGATTATTCAACTTGCAAGCCGAATTGCATTCAACCCCCAAGCCCTACCAGCACAACAGGATCGGACCATTATAACAGTACGCCAAGTGCCACTCAAGCTGGGCAAATAGATTCTGACATTCCAGGACAGACCCAAAGCGCTAGTATTACCACTGCAAGGGCGACAGTTCCTTTCACCCCTCCCCCAGTCTCATGTCTAGATGTATGTGCTATGCCTTTTCTCAAAAACTGTGACGACGGCATGTTATGTCAGTTTGATTTCTCTACCTGCCGTCCAAATTGTATACCAATGCCTACCACATCGTCACCCACGCCGTCAGAAACCACACAGTCCAGGAATACGGAAAAACCGACCAGTACTACTGATGGTGATTCGGCAGCCCCTTGTTACAATCTGTGCAGTCAACCATTCCTAAACCCATGCGAAGACGACACGGAATGTGTTTTTGATGAAGCAACTTGCAGAGCTGACTGTATCCCCGTTACAGATGCCAGCTCTACATCTGCCTCGGTCATTCCAACGACTTCCAAATTTTCATACTGTGACGGGCCGTGTCTGGAGGGAATGTGTGCTTTTTATGCAGGTATCAATAGGTACACTTGTATTTGTTTCGACGGCTTTATAGGTGACGATTGCGGACAGGTTTGTGATTTGTCCTGCGGAGATCAGAACCACTGTGACATAAACGACGAAGGCGAGATGCACTGTGTGTCTGGGCCTCCGCGAGTCACCATACCTGCAATTCTCAGAAACAATACTCAAGTACGGGACTTGACCCCGCCCCCTATCGACAAAAAATGCGGCCGGTGCAATCATGGGGATTGCATATTGGTTCCAGAAGTTGGAGGATACCAGTGTGCCTGTCATGAAAACTACACCGGAGCGGACTGCAGTGATTTCTGTAACTTGACCTGTGCAAATGGAGGGAATTGCGTGGTTGTCAGTGATGGAATGCGATGTAGCTGTCATCCTAATTTCACGGGACCCTTGTGCAATAAGCCCAAACCGTTCAATTCAACTCTGGCAAGTAGGTATATGAATGAATATGTATGAATGCGTATTGGTAGCCTTGTTTGTTAGTGCCTTTGTAGGAGTTTGGGTTTTTTAAAAATCTCGCAAATTTAAACAGAAAATATAGTTCCGAGTTGACGTAACCTAAAGTAAAAGCGCCCACGTACGATCCAACTCTCACGTATCTCGGTGTAGCGTGACAGTGAGTCCCCCATGATGAAGAGTCCGCTTCCCATTCATTTGTACAGGTAAGCTTCGCCCTAAATTTTGACCCACTTAAGTCAGGCTAACCGGTGCCCTAACCATCATAACTAAATGGAGGGCGGACTTTCTGTTACATGGACCCTCAGTTTCGTTACACCGGAATGGGGGACTTTTAGGGAGCAGTTACTGTTTTACAACATGTCATGCCTAAACAATTGAGACGTAAGTGACAATAAAATTTTGTCCAACCCCCCCCCCCCCCCCCCAGCACGAAAAATCGTGCATAAGCACTCCTAAAAACTAACGTTTTCTGATATTTATTACCTGTACACGTGGCTATTAGAAAACGTAAACAGGAGTGTTAACGCACATTTTCGTGCTGCTCTCTTTCTACAATGGGGCCCTTGCCTTCTTATATAGTACAATAACGTACATCTCCTCGCATACTCTGTGCTTTCTCGACCGTTTATTTCCTTAAGTTAGCTATGACAACAAACTATGTCTACCCGGCATTTTACCAAATAAGGCCTAATGCATGATGTACCTTAATAAGTTTTAGTTAATAAACACACGGCAAAATCTGCGTGACGCGTTGAAGAGAATGGTAAAAACAACTATAAAAAGACTTTAACATTTAGTTACTGTCATGATTCCGAGAATCAAATGTTACTGCTTCATTAGCGGGTAGAAATCATCCTCCGCATATCAAATTATTTCAAACAGAGAAATTGTTTCAACTTGTACGTGCATGTCTTCTGATTTCTTGAAATCATTTTTTTTTCTTCGCGAAGGTCGAATAGCCGTCTTTTATTCTCTATATACGTAGTTTCGCCGTTTTCAAAAATGTTTTCACCTTGTCAGATTTCAATTTAGGTCTTTTTCATAAATCATGCGGAGTATCGGTATGTAAATTACTGCTATCTGCTTGCTACCGCCCTTTTCTCGTTTATGATACACATTTATATACAAAATAAGTGACAAATTAAGTAATGGGCATTAGTCAGTGTATTGTAATACGTAGATATTAACCGCCGTACGCACCAGTGGAATGTTTAGATGACTTAGCAAAGATTGTGTTTGGATAAAAAGAAAAACATTTCACTCATTAGTTCCCCATAGTGTTGATTTTGATAGATTCTTTGCACGGGACGTTAGTCTGGGCGTTAAAGATTGAGTCTAGGATAAGGATAAATGTTGAGATCTTTTCAAAGCACTTACCCAGTGAAAATTTTAAGAAATAGAGGATTTTAAAAATATTGATTAAAGTAGAGAAATAATGAGGAGACATATTGTATTTTTGTTAAGGAGTTTCATCAATTCAATACAGACAGTGAGGTTATTAATAGAAATATCACTGGCAGGGAGTTGCTTGGTTCAACACCTTCACGTGTATAATAATGCTGGCTGCAAAAAAAAAGGTAAATTGCTTTAGGCTGACATTATAGTATTTGCTGAAGGAAAAAGAAAAGAAAATTATTGGCTCGCTGTTCATGGGGCACATTTAAAAGTATAAATGAACTTGGTGCTTGTTTCCCATAGTCTCCAAAGTGTTTTGTTTCTCGTGTCACATGAAATTGATTTAATGGTAAGTCTATTTTCATCTCTTGTTCTGACCACCATATTCATGAACAACTGAATTGCAAAGTAAGGTGCGTCTTAAATCTCAGGTAGATCGCGGTCATTGAGTAAAAACGCGCAGTTCTAAAATGTAACGGAAAAATATACATGCAGTATCAAAGGAACGGCAAATGAATTGAAAACCCCCAAAAAGGTCGCTATTAAATTGCGGTTTAATAGTGAAAAAGTTTAATTTCACCCATGACGTGATATTGACAACGACCCTAATGTGTCTCCTTCATTTCTATTTCAACGTGCTTCGTCATACTTGACCTCAAATGATGATTAGCTCTCCTTTGACACAGTTTCTAGTCTTTTTTCAATGTGTTTTCGAGGTTTTAAAGTATCCGGCAGTGGATTGCGGAAGGATGAAGTCTTTTCTAAATGTGATCTTAGTCTTTTTCCTGATCCGTTTGGAAACGAGTTTTACTGAGGAGGTGTCAGTAGGAAATCGTTCAAAAAGGCAGAGTAGACGATGCCCTATGAATCTGTGTCGCGTAGCGCTAAACCTGTGTAAGCCTGGGCAGGTTTGTGAATTCAACACTACGACATGTACCTACAGGTGTGTAAACGCGTCTGTACCTGTCATACCATACAATGCGACCACTTCAAGCCCCGAAAAACGGACAACGTATAACACGTCATCATCGACAACGTCTCCTTGCGATTTGAGTTGTCTCCATGGATCGTGCAGGCTGCTTTATCATTTCCCAGTCTGTGTGTGTAATGCCGGCTGGCAAGGGTACCTTTGCGACAGTCCCGTCGTTGAAATAACTACCCACGGTACGTCGTTACGCTCACTCAGTACACTGCCTATAACAGAAAACGCCAGCACCGTCAAAACCTACCAGTGGATGTGCGGAACCTGTGTCCACGGAGACTGTATTCGAGTTGCTTTGGGCACATCGCATTTATCCCGAACGTTCCCGGGTGGCTTCAATCTCCCAGGATACGTCTATCAGTGCAAGTGCCACGAAACGTGGTTTGGATCAAGCTGTAATAACCAAATTATACCTCTCAATACCACTGGTAATGGTACTGGGGACGCAATGACAACCAGTGTGGCACCATTCACCTCTTCTTCTTCTTCTTCTTCTTCTTCTGCTACTCCTCGAAAGTGCCGCCTGAATTGCATCCATGGTGAATGCAAATCTCTTAGTTTGGGTGGTTTTGCGAAGTTTGACAGGTGCATTTGTGATCAAGGATGGAAGGGACCTCTTTGTAACATTCCATATGAAAGTACTGTCACTGCCGCCAAGTCCCGTTCCCCATCTCTGTGCGGATCTTGTGTTCATGGCGATTGCATTGAAATATCGATGAATCGAACTGAATTCCTTGCTCTCCCTGGGCTGCCCGGCCGGTCATATCAGTGTCAGTGTCATGACAACTGGGGTGGACATGACTGCAACTCAGAGTGCTCACTAGACTGTAATGGCAATGGTAAATGCATGGTCAATGGTACCAAACATGCGGTGTGCGACTGCCACGATCAGTATATGCCACCTGAATGCAAAGAACTTCGGCCGACTACAAGTGCGACTGCAAGTAAGTTAGATAGCATATGTGTAGCGGTTATAGGTATTAAATAGTCACGATTTTTATAATGTGAATAACCTATATTCTAAATGTGCAAAAATAATAAATTTGAATGGGAATGTTTTGCGGTTTTAGGGTATCCTTTAGATTTTTCATACTTGTTGTACGAATCATACAATTATTAATAAACGAAATACAATTAAGCCAGTTGCCACTTCCTCAATTGGTATATAACCTCAAATTAGTTCCATAGCAATGCATCAGTAACTTTACGTCAATTTGACATTTTATGTCCCTGTGAACGTCTTTTAAAGGCATTCGTTGTTCTTTGCACGCACCTCCTCAACGTTTTTAAGAGTCTTTTGAACTTTCAATGTGTGGTCAATTTAAGCGAAATTTCCGGGTTCATTTGCAAATTAAAAGCATTAATGACGCACATCATGGCAACCAAATCTGTGGTTCCTTTCACATGTCTCAGCTGCTTTCTTTAGTTTGAGAAAATATTCAGAAGTTTTCACATGCTTTATATGCATAATGAAGCATATATAAGTGGACTGATAAGAACTCCAAAACACGTTTCGAACATTTTGATTGAGAATGATATTGAAGCAGGCCATTTGGATATTTGTCTCCCTTGTGTTATGGGAGTACAGCAGATACAGCAGCAAAGCGTTTGGGTTTAACATTGACCGAGTCGAGAAGAAGAACTGTGATATAGAAGGGTGCATCAGACTTCTCAAACGATGTGGTATTAGCAACCTACGCTTTGATAAAAAATTATGTAAGTGCTCCTGTCTTGAAGAGTTAGCATCAACAGTGACACCTGACGCCATGCTGCATTCGAGCACTGGAACGTCACCAACAGACCAAGATGGCAGCACAACGACTGCAAACAAAAGGGGGCTTAACCCTTCGATGTGTGGTTCATGCGTCCACGGAGACTGTGTCGAGATAGAGCTGGGTAATTTGACTTTGATTTCGCCCCGTCTTACTGGTCCTTTTTACCAGTGCCAGTGTCACGAAAACTGGGCTGGGTCGGACTGCAATACCGACTGTGGAGATTTAGACTGCCATGGGCATGGCCAATGTTTTGCCAAGACACCGGGAAACCCTGTATGCGATTGCGACGATGGATTTATACCACCGTTTTGTAATGAAACAAGGAAGACAAACTGAGACAAATTGGGCAACTTGGAAGGAAAACGTTTTTTTTTTCTACTTAGAAAAGTTATTTTTCTACCTCGAACTTTCCAGCAAGACACATCAAGATGACCAATACCTCACTGACCCTTTTATGTTTTTTAAGCGCTTTCCTGGCCAGTGGGTAGGCTATTTGACTTGGGCCAGACTGGCGTTTTACAATATTTATCATGAATATCTTCTGACAAGTGTATTGTATCGGGGTAGGCATAGAACACGAATTACACCAAAAAGTAAATGTGATCGCAAATATTCTGCCAGCTCCCATTAGGACGAGTTGCTCGATCGTGTAGCCTAACTGGTCGTGAACAGAGGTTGTCAAGATGTTGAGGAGAGTGATAGCTAATTAACGAGGGTTTATTGAAGAGTAAGGACAAGCAAGTGAAGCGACCGAATGGATAAACACATCAGCACCTTCGCCAGCCGTAATAAATAATCTCAATGGTCGAAAAAGTATTTATTTATATATTTATCATTATATGGTTAACAGTTACCCAACAGCTTTCACATGTTGTTTAATTGACAAATATATTTTTTTACATTAGACGATGTACAATTACCATTGATATTTAATTTTTATAAAATGCCGTTAACCTCAAAGACTTAGTCTTCTATATTCAAATCATTGGTGTGTACGAAGTATGGTTTTCAGTATTATGTTATCTAAGTCACGGGTCAATGTAAAAGACCATCTTAAAACGGTGGAGAGCGACTTCGCTATTCAAAATAGTGACGTTTTTAGTGAAGAGTAAATGGAATCTGAAAAGCGAGTAAATGTGCGTATCCACCTAGAAACGCGATCTTACTTTAAGCACCTCAGATGTTACATTTGAGTATTTCCTTATTCATTTACATGACATTTGGTTTTATGTCGATGTCATGTCCTCGAATGAGTTTGTCAACATGAAAGTACCAAAGAGTGTGACTGTCATAAAAAATCTTTCGAAAGCGACATATGGAATACTGTAAGAGAAAAGGTGGATTGTTCATCTAATACAGAACCAAAATGATGTCCTTCGTAATTACATGTATAGATTAGCCAATCCAATACCAAGGGTGACGCACTTCCAAATGGAATGTGTTGGTAGTGATTTTTACTGAAGTATACCTCCTATAACAATGAGTGGCACAAGTGCTGCTAAAGCATTGATAAATGTATGCCGAACTGCAGATTAATATAACATGTGAATAAATAGTTTTTACCAGATGAGAACTGTCAGGTTTTCGTTCACATTAACTTTTTTGGGGCCCTATGAATTGCATTTTAGATTGAAAATGGAAGGGGTCTGTTTTGTTTTGCCAATTGTCCAACTTAACATTTTTTTCCTTTATGTACTTCTAAGAAATTATTTTCAATAGGGGAGATATTTTTTCTGTTGTGTTTATTGAAAGACGTCATGCAGCCAATCACAGGCGAGATTCTATAGTCACTGAAGGAAGTAACCCGAGAGTTCTTACTTCAGTTGAATGATATAATACTGTGATTGAGTTGACTATAACATTCGTGTATACTAGTACATATTTTGGGTAAATGATTATACCTTTAGTGTTTTGAGGTTAAGTAACTAAATAGTGTAGGCGTTATATTTCTATACATGCTCCTTGATGACATGTACTTTTTGAGATGAGATCATTCCCATCGAAGAAGACTAACAACAGATTATACGTAATCCAAGCTTACACGAAACATACCGACACACCCCTTAAATTACAAAAAAAGTTAGAAAATCACGTACCTAGGCTTCCAATGTACAAAGCGAATTTTGGAAAATATCTTTTGTGCGTGCTTGTTTGCATGCGTGTCTAAGTGCATGTCTTGGGGAATAGGCGAGAAGATTTGAGTCAAGTTTTGCCTAGAACGTTATTCGTTCTTTACTGGGGAATCAAAATAGAACTTGTTATTATTCCTACTGCAATGACGGGCAACAAGTCATGATTAGAAAGAATGGTTACTCTTAGTTTTGTACGGGAATACGATATATCTTAGGGGCAAGCACACAGTAACTCCCACTACCGCCACCTTTACTTTATCTGTTACCTTTTCGGTCCCAGTGCCTTTCAGCTGTTACAGTGACTGTAATTATTTTTTGACCTTATTGTCATGCAAGTTAGCGATCATCTACCGCTTTGGGCAAACTGAACAGCACACAGCAATTGACTTTATAATTAGTCATATAAAATAATATCCACAGACGGTGCAATACCAATATGCATGATGGTGAGTTGTATGGAAGTTTTGGTTCAAACATCATGAGAACATTTTGGTCTTTAGATGAAGTCGCCATTGAAGTATACTGTGAAAAAAATGTTGGGAATTAATCCTCGGAATAGAATTACTTCAACTTAGAATATTTATGTCATTATGGTGACAATCAAATTAACAAGATGACGTATGTTGTTTTCGCAAAGGATTTACGCCTATGGTACCTTGGAGTTGAAGTTTTTGATGTCTTTTTGCGCTATCGAAGGCGTCTTAGGGTAGAATACTGCAGTAAAGGACACATTTTAATTCAATATATTTGGTGACATATACCCGCTTGTCACATTGTGAAAGTGAGGCATACAATGGAAGTTGGTTAGTTCAAACATCGCAGGATTTGTCGTTGTCAACACGTCATATGAGACATCTGTCCTAAAGCAAGGCGGAGAGCGTCTGCTTATATGTAATCAACGTGTGGCAGAATCTCAGTGTTTTTCTAAAAAAATTGGAAATCAACTCATGGCAGTGTTTGCTTGATATCTTTGACATTCAGGTTTCATTCTGATGGAAAGGAATCCCTAATCTGCACCCGACAACAGACAAAAATAATGCGCCATAAGAGAATATTTACGTTACTTTTGACCGTTGTTGTGAACATGTCGGTTTTGGTCACTTTCCCGGATGGACGCCCGACTATTTTGGAAAACAGTGACAATTTAACAATTGATCAACACAGCATCTTTACTCCTGTTGTAAACAACTTCTCGGACTGGGAACCGGGCACCTGCCCGGAAAATTACCCTTGTAAAAATGGAACCTGTGTTACCGTCATGATGCCAACGGGACGGGCATTTAAGTGTAACTGTTACGATAACTATACAGGAGAGAACTGTGACAAATTCTGCCCGCGTAACTGTGGTGCCAACGGTAGCTGCACTATCTACAAGGATGTCCCGGTTTGTCAGTGTAACTGGCCCTATACAGGGAGTTTTTGTGAGGAGATGATGACCACACGATGTAGGTAGCCTTGGTATTGATTGCTTTTGGGGATTTAAATGGTGTTTTAAATCCCCAACATCAAGATTAACATCTGGAACGGGTTCATTCCTATTTAATTTTAAAAAAGATTCCATATTGTTATTCAGGTAGGACTTTTTTCCAAATGACCTTTTACATAAGGTTCGATCTTTTCCGGTTACGTGACCTTGACACTAGTTCGGCGTACTTACTTCCTCCCATATCTTTGATGTGTAGGCCTAATTTCTCATGTGAATTAAATAGAATTAAAAAAAACTTGTTTTTGGTAACGAATAGATATAGTAAGATCAGGTCCTCCATGCAAGTTGACCTAATTCAGCGCAAATCTGTGACTTCTGAGATCAATGTGGCGACTTTAAACACAATTCTTTTAATTTTAAACGCACACAACTTAAAAGCGCAAACTATCGAAGATAAATTTGGTCTCTTTTCATTTTTATTTTCATCCCTCAAGCTTATCTAACGGTTTTTAACGATTTTTTTCTGTTCAATGCGGATTGTATAATATAACGGCAATAAGGGCATTAAAGAATAATCGGTTTATAAATCATTAAAATGATTGGGGTTTCACTCTGATACACTAGCAGAATGAAGAAAATGCATATAACATAACCTGAAAATAATGACCTTACCTAGAGATAATTTTTTTACCTGGCCCAGAAAAGTCATGGGCAGCAAGCAGTTAATAAGTGCAAAGAGCTAAAAAGACGTCGTTATCTACATGTCACGAGCTGAGAAATGATTGACAGGTATGCGTCTTCGGCGAATAACGTGGTTCACTCCCTCCCCGGACTCCCACGTCAGCGATCGCGGAGATACTTATCGGGATTAAGGTTGATTAAGAGGTTTATGGGGGAGAATAATGATACTTTACGAGTGCAACATAATCGATAGCTTGATAGAGAAATCCAATGTTAGTTACATGATGTCAAATGGAATGGAGCGTCAACAGTGAGTCTGGGGTAGTTGTTCGCACAGTGTGGACGGTTTACGCGGCCTGAACTTGTCATGTCACCTGATTGCAGTGGTATGTTCGGTTAAGTTACAGTAGATCTAAACGGACTTTCTGGTACCAATGCACTTGGACAGTCGGTTCTACCCCCTTTTTTCGGAGAAATTCATTTTGACCGGCTGCGCCACGTTCTTCGCTGTCACAAGTGTTAAGTCTGATAGCGGCACCCAGCCAAGTTGCGGCAGCTGGTCAAGCCACCTATACTTTGGGTATATTACTAAAAAAAATTGGCGACGAAAGTATCACCTGGAAACAAAGAGTTATCGGAACGGGCGTGGACTCACGGCAGGACTTTTGTTAATGTTTTCCATTTTCATATTTGGTGTGTCAGCTATTTTGTGCATGGAAGCTGTGCATGGTGTTTTTGGCGTTATTAACTTCTTGAACTATGGTTCGTTCCAAAATAAGAGCTCGGATACTAATGGCTGTAACTGTAGTCCTCGTGTTTTCTTCTGCCTCTTCGGATGAAACCTTCATGTGGAGGTGCATGAACGATTGCGGTTTCAGGGCAAAGGGATACTGCAAAAATGGAGGTAACTGCACATTTGATCCAGAGAGCTGTCAGCGCTCCTGCTCGTGCAGGGAAGGATTTACTGGCGACTCGTGTGAAATCCTAAAATCTTTTCCCAAAAACGATGGAAATTTTACCCAGCATCAAGACGACATTTTGACATCTGTCGTCGTTAATACCACCGAGGAATCGGGCTCTGGCACATGTCCGCAAAACTACCCCTGCAAAAATGGAACTTGTGTCACCGTCACAATGACCTCTGGGCGCGCCTTTAAGTGTATCTGTTATGATAACTACACAGGAGAGAACTGTGACAAATTTTGTCCTCTTAACTGTGGATCCAATGGTACCTGCACTATCCACAAAGGTGTCCCGGTTTGTCAGTGTAATTGGCCTTACACGGGGAGTTACTGTCAACAGTCGATCACGACTCTGTCAACAATAGTAGGAAGTAGGTAGATATGTTGTTGTGGTTTGGTTGGGTATTTGTACTACATTTATTGTTCTAAAGGTTTTTTTTTTGTCTGATGATTTTTTGGTACTTGTTCAGGTAGATTTTCATTTATTTATTTATTTATTTATTTATTTATTTATTTATTTATTTATTTATATTTTGTAATTGTTCATGAGGGGGATAGAGGCGAGCGGTTTGAGTGCCATGACGACGAATTTTGAGATGCTTATAGACTACCGTTGCTTTAAAATAATTTTAAAACATTTCTGAGACTGCTGAATTGAACATAAATACAATGGTTGGATACAGAACTTAGGAAACCCAAGTCACCGTAATCTTCCCATTGGTTGGTTGCTTGGTGTCCTTTTTGGACATCTTTATAATATGCTCAACATTTCCTGGTATGCTGCTCAAATCTGACAAGTAGGATATTCCACGTGTTGTCCATGTTATCCACGGAAACAGTCTCAATAAATGGAAATTGAAAAATAAAATACATCAACGAAAAGTCAAACTGACCCATGTAGCTATATGTAGCCTGGTGGGGTAGATTTCATAGGATGAAATGTGTAAAGGACTTAACTCGTGTCATAAATGGCGAACGGGTGATCATGGATTGATGAAACATATTATTTAAATAAGTTTAAATATTATTTTATTGGTAGAAAATATTTAAATATAATTAAATAAATGATTTAACAGCTATAATTACGATCATAACGGACGAGAAACGATTCGGGGAACGGGGCGAGTGCTGACTTTGCCGTTCTCGGTGAACATAATCGTGAAACATCTGTTTTATTGTGCGGTGTGACTCATTTCTAAGTAATCTTTATATAGTTATATGTCATGCTACATATAGGTGGGCATCATTTATCTACATCGTTTACTCAGCACTCATCCTTATATTCATATTATTTATTTATTTATTTTTGAAGGGTGCGGCACAATAGTTCGAACTTTTTGACTGTCTGGGCCCGCCCTTTTTGAAGACAACCGGCGTTGTGTTGATATCTGAAAGCATCAAATGTGGCATGGGGCGGAGAGGTGGTTTATTTATGTAACTGTCTGAAGGTAGAGAGAGCGTGATGCGACAGATATGAGTGTTTTTATGCCATACATCATACTCTGTTTTCACTACCGGCTCTTTCTATTCCAAGAATGTAATAAAACCACTCTGGTACCTGCCAATTATGCAGCCACTGTTTCCACCCGAAGCTTTTCAGTCTAATGAATAATGTGTTTACCTCTATCATATAGTCACATCCCTCAGGTGCATTGATCAAGGTATGCATGCGCACTGGAAGAGGAGCGATATAAGTCGCCTAACAGTCTGAACCTCAGTCTGGATGTGTGATTTTTTGTTACTTTAAGCCGACAGGAACAAATGTTTCGTCATAATTTACTGCTTCGAGGGATGGTCGTAATTTGTACCTTTTTTAAGTATTAGTTTCGCCAAAATAATAAATGGTGTCTATAAAGTGCTTTAGTCCATTGTCATTAAAACAACAAGGTTGGGGAGTATAACTCGTAAAATTTTTATGGGCCATAAAAAGAGAAACACTGTAGGCAATTATTTGCCCGTTTAAAGCAGTCTCTTCTTGGATGTATTGAGTATAACTAGGCTAGACGAAAACAAACTACAGTCGTTTTAAGTATGGTGCCCTTTGGTGGCATTTTCGATGAAATTTTAACTTTGGCGTGTATCTGCATTTCTTGTACGCTAATTTTTGGTCCATGTCTTTGATGAAACGTATACCAGCTAAGCGCAGCTATAAAAGTTTCGAAAAGTTTTTTTTTACATATATGTAAATATGATTTTCAGTATTAAAAATGTAAAATTTTCTTGCGTAAGGTCATTCACGTAACCCAAATATTAATGTTTTATTATGATATTTTTACTTCAAGCAAGTTTTATATATGTGTATGTGTACATCTCCATTCATTGCGCGATTTTGGCAGAAAGCGCAATAAGTCATTCTTGCTTAAGGTAATAACTGTGTTGGAACGGCAATTGCCAAAAGATGGTCAACGCCAACATATAATATAAAATAATGGGAATGTAACTATATGGTGGCAATGAAAAAAATGCGTTTTTAGTTTTCGACAGCGAGATTCTAATTCTATATTAAATGTCGAAATAATAAAACTATAAATCCGACAGTGTAATAATCAATATCATAATTTACTTGAGTAGGGGAGAGAGATTAAGTTTAATTTTGGGCGAGCTAATGGGACCTGCAAAAATGCCTGTTAATTGACATTCGTAACTCCTGCTTTTTCAACAGAATTTTTTGTGGGCAAAAAAGAATGTTGTTGCAAGAAAAATAATTCACCTATAGAGCACACCACAACAAGATATCAAAATCAATATGAAATTATTAAACCAACAGCATCATCCGTGACATCACGCATCTTTCACATTTTGCCTATTTGTTCACATCTGCATGTGGCTGTTTTGTTCAGGTTTTAGCTTCACTTTCCCTGCAGCTCTCTGAGGATTTATATATGTAGTTTCGGCATTTATATCAAAATTCTGATAAATTTCATAGTTTCAATCGAGAATAACTCTAGAATAATTTGATGTTTGTTCATTCATACCCCCTCTCATAAAAAAATATTTGAGTATCTTTTCATTGAATAAATCTGACAAATTGCTTGTAATGAATAGTGACAGTGAATAGGGAAATGATGGTTGAATAATGACGATAAATTAGAAATCGTTGACTCTGTTTGAATACGGTTTCTACTACTGCATGATGGCTCGCTAACTGATTTACATACTTATGATTTATTTGAAACATCATCGTTTCTATTAGGAAATCGTGGGTATGTACTTTGCATTAGGATATAAGAATATATTAGGATATAAGAATATTCCCATATTAAAAGCATGACATGATAGTGTCATTAAATGAGTATGAGGCACATGCCATAATAAAATTGTTTTTTTTTCTGTTTCTGGTGTCTGAAGGAATTGATGGACTATTGCGCCCACACATTTAAAGGTAAAGGAAACGACACGTGGGCAGTAAACTGAAAGGGATTTTATCGCTTTTGCAATATTTTCTCTTGAAAAATAATAAGTTTCTCATTTCCAGCCCTGTCAATGCATTGATTATAAACGTATTTTCTCGGCATTTGGGTGGCCATCGTATACGCCGTTAAAAGTGTCGTTGCTTTATCGAAGTTCAGTTTTACGTCTCCTCATTAACCTAAGAGAAAGTATAAGTAAAGGACAAACACAAATATAGTGTTCGAAATTTGGCCGGTAGCGGTCGCTTTTATTGAAAGGTCCCTCTAGTAAAAGAATAGTTTTAGTTATTATATAGCATTAGATAATGTTGAATTGATTAAAATTACGTAATGTTATAGCATAAATAATAAATATCCAAACAAATAGTGCACATATTTTCATTTGTGGGGTCTTCCCTATCTTCATCCAATTAAGAGGGTTTTTTTATATAAGTTATATATAGCCTACGCGTTAAAAAAACTATATGTATGTTGATTTCCATACAAAAATATTTAGCAATTAAATCCCAAGGGTTTATTAATTATTTGAACTAATTGCAGTAGATGTACCTTAGTGAGTTATTTTTCAATAGCAGTGACTTGAATTTTATCAAATAATGTTATTCTGTATTGATTGCTTGCTCTGTCAGTATTTTTTCTTTTGTTCCTCTTAATAAATAATGAAACTTATTTATCTAATTTTTTCATGAGTAATGTAACATTTAAAAAGGCCGAAAATGCGTTTTATCGTGTAAAAAATTTACATTATAAATCTCTGAGAAGAAAAGCGTCCCCGCGAACAGCAAAAACCTTCTTTCATTATTTCGCGCGTCCAAATTTAAAGTAGTGAAAATGAAACAAAAGTGTTTTAGACCTCCGCCAAAGAAAATTACCTCCAATGTGTTGACAACTGTGACCACAACATGTACTGTTTTAGGATATAAAATGTTACGAAGATCCATCTATCTTGATTAATTATGATCTTTTTTTATGGGAGCTCAGAGCGCTGAGAGCAAAGATGCGATTTATGGCAATCTAACTAATGCTTATGGTTGTTTTCTGTGCAACCTGACTTACGCACAAGGGTTTCTTCATATGGTAAATATTAAAGTGGATAGGGATTTTTTCGTTTTTTTGTATTCTATGAGTCCATATCCAACCACGTGCGTACTCATTCCTTTGGCTGTGCCAATTTGTCTTTGATGTTTGGCTTGGTTTCTGGTGAAGAAGAGGAGAGGAAGAATCAACAGTAAAATTGCTTGATGCTACTCTTGCTGTGAAGTGGATAGAAACATGAGTAGCACTTGCGCGCTGATAAAATAAGATCCAACATGCATTAACAATAGTATTTCTAATTTGTTTCCAGCGGCGGTGATCCAAGTTCAATCTACTCCAGACTGGTTGTGGTACATAGTGACTGCCTGTATCCTTCTCCTCATCCTCTTAATTGTGGTAGCGGTGGTGATGCCGCTCTACTTGTGGAAGCACAGGAACATACTCATCTTGAAGATCGTGTATTATCTGAAGCCTTATGAAGATGACGGTACGTGCTGCTTCAGTCGGTTTAATTTATGACTAGCAATGCAAAATATTTTGGTGCTGTGAATAAAACCTAGATGTCAACATGAGTGTACCAAAATGACCTTGTCCTAATCAACAGATTGAGGTAACAACCAAACCATTTGATACAGAGATCCACAAAAGGTATTTTGTTACTGAGTTCTTTTTGTAATATAGATTTCTCTAACTACAAACGCGATCCTTTTAAAAGCATGCTTATTTAACGCCACCATTCCGTATTTTACAGATGAAAAGAAGTACGACGCCTTCGTCTCATTCAAAGGTCGAACAGAAGACGAAGCCTTCGTGTACCGGACGCTAGCACTGAGACTGGAGAACGAGATGAACTTCAAGTTGTGTCTCCATGACAGGGATTTTATTCCTGGAGAATGTAAGCTTAAGAATCTCTCCTGTATTTCATTTATTGCTTCCCTGGTCACTGTGTGCTTACTAGAGATAAAGAAAGGGGGAAGTAGAGTTCTGGCTGGCGGTTAAAAATATTTTTATTTGTTCTATTTGTAGTTCATACACTGCAGTTATTCCACCCAACTCTCTCTCTCTCTCTCTCTCTCTCTCTCTCTCTCTCTCTCTCTCTCTCTCTCTCTCTCTCTCTGACCAAAGAAAATAGTATCATGGAAATGTGAAGCAAAGCATTAGCATGGGACTTGAAGCCCGTATAAAGCTAAATAACGCATGTAAGTTGATTAACAGTGTTTATTTATTTTTATTTATTTTAGATATAAGTGACCAGATTATAGACGCTATTGACAACAGTCGGCGTACCATATTGATACTTTCGCCTGACTATTGCAATAGCGAGTGGACCAAGTTTGAATACCACCGAGCCAGAGAGGAAATGTTGAGGAATAAGACACGAATTATACCAATTATGTATAAGGATATTTCATCAATCGAGGACATTGATCCAACGCTGAACGAGCTTTTGAGAAGCATAACTTACATAACATGGCCAGGGTTTGCAAGCGATGTAGCAAACAAACATGAACTAGAAGCCATAGACGACAAAAAAGCTAGAAAAGAAGAAGAACGGAGGCAAAAAGAAGAAGAGCGCTTCTGGCGTAAAGTGCATTTGACAATGCCTAAGAAACATAAGAACTCCTCAACGGAGCCGTTACCAAGTGATTCTTGTACTGTGCCGCTTAGCCCAATAAGCAACGGAAAAATAAATTCCGGTTTCACTAGCAACGACGAGACGCCATCTGTCCCACTATCTGACATACGCACAAGTCCCGAAGACTTATCCGAGATTAACGTCATTGTTGCTAACGGCAAAACATCAAAATATGAAGACGTGGACAGCAGCAGCACCATTCCATCATCCAATGGCTTTCTGCATAATAATGTTAAGTCAATTGACTTTCCTTTATCGCCAGCTTGTGAAAAGCAAAATGGACATCATCAAAATGGACTAACTATCAGCGCTTGATGGCTTAAACGTCTTGATCCAATATGTTTCATTAATGGCGTAGTTCGTTTCTGGCACCGGGAAACTCAGCGGATGGTGCATCAGCTCGGCAATTTGAAGCCCAAGATATGGTACCAGAAACGATTTATGTCTTTCAGAGCCAAAATTAGTTTCATCATTCCTGCCGATGAGCACTGCTTAGAAGCCAATACTTACTTTCTCAAGAAGTGCTTGGAATTTTAATTTTCCGCTCTCTTGTTCGGCTAGAACCTGGCCCCAGATGGATGCGTGCACTTTTGTCGGTAAGCGTACACTGACATTTGCGTGCTAGAATGATGGAATGAGGATGTGCTATAATGCGTCACAAGCCAAGAGGTTGAATACACAGCCCGATACACAGCTTGTTTTCAACTAACCTAAAGATGTAAATGATTTGGGGAGATTTTCGAGTAATAGAAAATCGCAGTTATGGTGCGTGAAGTAACTGTGTGTAAGAATATATCCCGTTTTATGACTATACCACCTAATATGTCAACGTGTCTGTGCACGCTTTGATCCTCAATGTGATATCAAAACTTCTTGGTAAAATCTAGAAGGGTTTGATAAGTAGAATATTTTGAACATGGCGGTCAAGGCTCGAACTTAAATCTTGAGATTTTTTATGTAAAAGTGCAACATCAAGCAAAATATTTCAGTCGTGGACTTGGACCCAGATGGGGGCGATGAGTAGAATAAAGTTTCAGTGATCGACAGTTGTATTTGTATTGCTGTAACTGCTACTGTAGGAATAGATAGCCTCTTTTCTCTTTAAAAATTCCACACCACAGCCAAAATTTATTAATGTACATATCTTATTATTGTTGTCTTTAGAATAGGATATTATGTTTTATTTGATTTCTTGTATTTTGTGTAAATAGATATATGCGAGGTGTAAATCAGTTTTGTGTATTGCGTCATCAAAACAAGATGGTAGAATCTCAGGGGAGAAACCATGTAAATATTGCATTTTAAATGTATAGTAAACATTGTCACGTTTTGTCAACATATAAACATGTATATATAACATGGAAATGAATGCAGATGTCAACATCATGAATAAAGAAAAGAGTTTAAATTAATCTTATGAATACAGCAATATGAGATTTTTCTAATTGTATGTTATCATTTTCATTTATTCAATGAAATCATTTCATTTTCGGAAATAAAACGTTGTTGTTATTATGATAGTGTTCAAATATATAATTATACGTGATACACGAATTATGTTACGAAAAGTTTCGATGATAAAAAAAATGGGAACGCATTCTTCAAGCCCAGGCAATAACTCGATGCTTTTTCAGAAACATGCACAACAAACAATAGAATAAAATGAACAAGTTAATACATTTTGAAGGAAAAAAATAATAATAACAAATCGCTGACTTTGGATGGTTGAGAAAGAATGCTGTTAACAATTTATAACATTACATTACATGACGAAATATACACTGCCTTCAATATACCTTCGTGTTAGGAGACGTTGATAAGCCTTTAATGTTCCAAATATTTCTGCTGAAACAAAACTGTCGAAGATCTCCTCAGATGAACTGTAAATATATTCTTTCAGTCCTACCTAACACATTTGTCAGCCAGTTTGCTATTATGAGATATATCCGAGATGATAATCAGAACATTATATTGCAAATTATCAATAAGAAATAAAGATAACTACATGTAACCAGGCGCCGTATTGCCGTAGTTGCGGTCTGAACACATAAAAGGTCAATGCGGTTGGCACCACTGCCACTTTTGTTAAAGCTAATGTTCCTTGTTACAATTTTAATTAAATACTAAGCTAATCATTTAATATGACATTCACTCTGAACACACACATTGTTTAGGTACAAGCTGCCTTCGTTACCCTTGACTTTCATGGAAACACTGATGCAACATTTACGAATGCAGTGGCTACGACAATTTTTGTACGCATTGCAGGCTTAAAACATGATTATGTACAGTGCTATATTAAAGCACTAGAATGATCACTTGACAACCATATGTCCTGTTTCGGTAACATTTGATTTCAAATGCAATTGGATTGTATTGAAATAGAAGCTGATGTAGATCAAATATTCTTACATGAAGAAAGAGGAAAGGCATCTGATGCGCTGTCTATCGATTAGAATGTGAGTCAAAGCTTGTATACTATTTGTACTGAGCTGCTTTATCTTGGATATATTACAAGGCGATACTGGTACTTAAAACCTGGACATGGATGCCAAAAAAGAATAAAAGTCACCAAATAATCCCTTAAGGTCACATCAATAAGATCATTAATACGACGGTGCTCTCGCACGCTCAGAGTCCAAAACCTGGGCGTCCTCCGGAACTGCATCCATCTTGAATTCCGACCTGTTGTATTGTATGTCCATGGTACGTCTCCTATAGTTCCAGAACCACCATGCCCCTCCAAAACCTGCTGCAACTCCTACCAGGAACATCACGATACCAATTCCTGCGACGGCTCCTGAAATTTGATCCTGAAGTTTGAATTGACTTCATTGGGAAAAACTAAATAAATAAATAAAGAAGGAAACCTTACATTGTTCTCATGTTAACTTTGCAACTGAAATACAATCTACCGGTTTACAATGTGACAAAAATTATGTGGATGGGAAGGTCTTCCGGGTGGGGGCGTAACAGGAGGCACTTGCCATCATTTACTGAGCTGAGGTTTCTCTTTTGAATTTTATTTTGCATACATGTAAATGTAGGCCCCTATGCATTGCAAACAAAACACATTTAGGCCTACTTCTTTTCTTATTCCAATATTGGAACCTTTTGTTGAATTTTCGGTCTTTCACTTTTGGATTACTAAGCTTCATTGCCTTTTATCGATAGCTAGAAATTTAACAAATTAAAAAGTATGGGTAACTTCAATTTTGTATTGGTTTTCTTACCTGCATTCACGCCATTTACAATTTTTTGGGCACCTGCAAAAATAGACAAGTATCAATTAAATGTTTATTAACAGAACGATCATTGTTCAATATTTTCAAACCCCTGTAATCAATTTTACTTTATTTTACTTTATTTGGGGTAATTGCATGTCCGGGTCACGCCCCGCTTTCGAAATAACGCCCTGTGCCTTACTGGACATGGGTTCATTTTTCATAACCATGGCTATATAGGGCCTACAATGATGCTCAGTGAAACAAGCAGAAATAAAACTTGTAAACTATAAACATTTTATTGTGATAAGATATACTTACTAGGACCACTGTGAGGGCTATTGGTAGATGGAGGGGTGACAGGAGTACTTGATCCTGCTTTTATGAAAACCACGGTTCCATTATCAAACTTGACCGATTCGTAGATTTCCCCCGGCATCGCTTGCAACATAGTGGTCTAGTGGAAAAAATAAGGTATATATCTAATTTTTCTTATATCAACAGCTAATATTACCTCCAATAATTCGTTGTCTCTCAGAGCACCCCACACCTACTGTCTCTAAGAGCAGAGGTAATATTAGCTGACAATATTAGCCGTTGAAGAAAAAATACTTTATTTTTATAAACATATCACAGCTGATGAAATTCTTCTCCAAAGGTATTTATCTACAAATTAACATTTGATGAACAAATAAAATATTCTTACTTTCGCGTTTAACTTAAAATTAAACTATTGGCTAGGAAATAAAAAGGATCTTCACAATACTTCCCTTTCAAAAACGTGCTGGAATTGGTAAATAGGCTGCATAAATAAAATGTAAAGTGTTAGATCAATCGTAAATTAAATATCGAATGTAAATAAGAACTGAAATCTACCGTTGAGAAGTCGTCCTTCGTCATCAAGATGCTCATATTATTGGAGTTGATGGTGGCGATAAGCTTGCTGGCTGCCACGTTCAGTGGCACTTCGTTTGGGGTCTGCGGGACAAATTCTGCTCCTGGTATCCCCGTCAGTGGAGATACATCAAGCATGGTGAAAGTAAAGAAAATCAAATGCGAGTTGGGGTCTATTTCTACCTGCAAAGAAACAATTGTTTTGTCAGGTAAAACTATAATAATCAATGCGAACGAACACACACACACACACACACACACATTATTATTATTATTATTATTATTTTTTGGTGAAAGGGCCTATAAAATCTACACACAGAAGGGATGCTACTTGTTTTAGTATTCGTTTCCATGTAAAGGCCTACTGACGGATACATTAGGTAACAGTTATTTCAATATCCAGTGGTAACATTTCATTTAAATGTCAATGAAAGAAACCCTTAGTAAATTGCTTGATGTACGTTTTAATGTAAACTATGTATATCAGAATCGAATTTAAAAGAAGCAGACGACAGCACGTGCTTACCGATACGTCTTGAGTTCTGATTGGTCGCAGACCTGTAAAATCTTCTATGGCATTCAAAACCAAATATTTAAAGGCAAACCAGTTACCCTCTACGTAAGATTTATCGCCTGAAACATAATTAAACATAATTAAGTTTCTAAAATCAAAACTCTAACTAAACTTAAAACATTACTAAAAACATAATTTTATTGTTTTAATGTAGATAGAAAGATAATTAGATAAATACAAAATTATTTCGATAGTTGTCACACAAAGATAAATACTAATTTTACTTTTATTGTTGAACCTACATGTACTTACACTAAATATATTAGATGAGCAATCTGACAGGGCGAACAATTCGGAAAACTACGGATCTTTGGACATCGACTTTAACTTTTTGGTTGCTTACGGAAAACCACATAAGGGTATCGTTTTTTTTTATATCTATAAAACAACTTACCTACAATGACGAACCTAAAGGTCCTCTGCGGCAAGTCCCGGTAACACAGGCTTACGTCAAAAGCGCTGTAATCCATAGGGGAGTCATCGAAGTTAAAAATATTCAGTACGCTGACGTCGTCCTGCCCACCAGGCATTGTCTGTTGATACGGAATTTTTTAAAAAATGTAACAAATCAAGGCTGCAGAAATCAAACATTACTACACGTTTCTTACACCGTGAATACGTTTTATGTCTATAAATTGATATTCCTGCACGTTTGAATACTTTTGTTCAAGAGATCACTGTGTGTGTGTGCGCGCGTGCGGGCGTTTTACATCCACTGTTGGACATATTATTTTTTCTAGTTCAATTTCCTTGAAATTATCGCATTCCACACGATGCAAACAAGGTGAGATAATAGAAGGCTACAAATCATTGAATAGTATATGTGTTTACGAGTACATGTATAACATATCTTTAGACATAAGAAAAGAAGCCTTACCGCCGGTATCCTGACCACAAGTCTAATTGGTTCATTGTATTCAGGTCTCAAGCCATCCTCAAGTGTCCAACCATCCTAAAAAGGTTGATATATCTTGCCTGTAAGGTTTACTTTATTAAACTATTTCTCATAGACCTGTTTGTCTGTTTGTTTGGACCATTAGTTACACCAAAAATTTTATTCGACTAAGAAGACACTCTTCTTCACAAATATCCTCATGATGTGCCACTCTTTGAATGAAAACAGAAGCGTGAGAATGAGATTAAGTGAGATTGAGGTCTTACCTTTGAAAAATACCACTCCCAAATTGACATGATCCCATCCCAGTCTGTTCTCCTACTACTATAGATATCGGCTCCAATATGGCGAGCTGACCCCTAAATAAAAATATCACAAGAATAAATATCCAACAGAATTAGTAAAAGGAACAGTCAATTCCTATTTATGAAGTTTAAGCTAGACTTGTTTACTGAGCCTCCATATTGGCAAGTGTCAAATACAAGTAAAATTATATAATAGTATTTTTAGATACGACTCACTGTCCCTTCATAATAATAAGTCTCTCCGGAAAAATCAAAGAACTGCATGGGATCCCGAATCTGTGTATAGTTCGCAGCGCCGTTGTTGACTGTGTCCACCCCACCGTCAGGTATGGGCATTACGGTGCAGTTGCCATAGTAACGATCCATCACATATGCTGTGCCTAGTAATTCAAATTTGAGAGCAAACTAAGAAATAAACCAATATCTTCAATATCTAAGGAAAACATAAACCGATATTTTTTATATTACCAGTAATAAGGTATGATTTGAATTCGTTGATATGTCTGAAATAAAATAACATCAAAAAGAGGGAGTTAAACTCCCATAGAATTAATACCAATTCACACATAGAATTATAATTAATACTGTCTTGGATAGGCAAAGTCACATCATATCTTAAATTACAGATATTACAGTGAGAAGGTTGTTCACTTACCTGTATAGAAATCGTGCACCGTGGACAGTGGTCGATTGCCAAAGCCCTGATAAATAAGCTGACCTTGGGGTATAAAATCCATGCGGAAAAGTTTTGCGTTAAAATCATACCATTCCTGGAATATAAATGATATCATAGATCATTCATGTCCTGCCATCCTCGTTTGCCTTCTTTTTCGGAAGAGAGTACTTGTGACTTAAAATAGAAGAAATGTGACGCTGACGGGGATGTAGAGAGAAGTTATTAAATTTATTTTCTGTTGAAGACATACGTTTTGCTTAAAAGTGAAATTGCTTTTCATCTGAAGAATGAGACAGAAAATGAGAATTTTTAAAAAGCCCATACATCAATGTTCTGTACAGTGCCGGCACTCTCAGATATTTGCTCTGATCGAAATGAAAATCTGTCTGGAACTTTCGGTAGTTTCTTTTCGTTTTTTCTGCCGTCGCATACATAACCTCTTGGGGTCTGAAAAATATGTAAATGTGTACCTTTGGTGTCGGTCAATTATCCCAGCTTTGAGTCCAAGAGGTGACCACACCCAAAGTCAATTACTTTATAGTATGTACTATATTCATGAAGGCATGTTTGTTCTGTGTTATTTTTTCATAAAATCCTATTGCTCATAATATATGACTAAAATGCATTTTAGCATTACGTTGTTATATTTCATGTAAGCAGCATCAAAAAGTGGTAAACATCTATTGAGGAACCGATTAGGATTATTTCTTTAAGCCTTAAAAATGCACATAAAGCTTATTAAAATTTCCAGATGTTGAACAAAGTTATTTTACAAACAACTTGTGACGTAGATTTTTATTTCATACTTGGATAAAACACACAAACCTGGAACACCTTTTCACTGGCACCGTCTGGCAGTTCATCGGAGAAAAAGGCAAAGTCGTAAATTTGAGAAACCGTTGCTGGCTGCCCAAACGCATCTGTTCGCTTCCCTGTGATGACGGCTTGAACGGGGACCGTTGACATGCCAGACGCAGTAGACCAACTATCTGGGTCTAAAAAGAAATTAATTGAGAGTGCATGTGATGATTATAGATATATGAAACCTGTCCCTTTAAAATCAGATACCAAAGAGGTCATGCATCCTTGTGTTTAAAAAGAGAGATAGAAAAGAGATATTCATAACATGGCGCGTGGAATTATCAGGGAATTTTTTGTACAGAAATATTATTAAAAATTACATGCACAGAGACGTGCTAAATAAAATCTTGTTTGTTGACAGATGCAATTCCACAATAAAAATGAATTGTCTGTTCTGCATTCCTCCACATATTTGCACACATCCTAGCAAAAACAAACGAACTAAGAAAGAAGGGCTTCTTTTTGCTTAATTTAATGTTAACTTACCTGACCAGTAGTATTCAATATTAAGAGTTGCATCCCCCATCTCTGGTCTGAATACGCACGCTGTCCAGTGGTTAACGGCAACACCATTCACTGTGTCCTTTCCCAAATAAACCTCTTGGTAATCCTTGCCAAATTTAAGAGAATCCCCCGCACTCATTATGAAATCTGAATAGAAAATCAGTTTACTTTTACTAATAACTAGAGTTTTTTTCAATCAATTTACAGCAAGTTGAAGAGCTCAAATTTTGGCATCTTTCCAAGAAAAGGAACTGTTGTTTCCTGGAAAAAAATATTTAATCTAAGACAGCTCTTATTGAAAGACACCGACCTCTAGATGAGCTGTTTTTCTAATGGACAGAACTGTTGTTTCTGCATGTTCAAATATCAAAAACAAGTAACCAAAATTTATATAACAGTCTGTATTACGTATATGATTTTTTTAAAATTTCCTTTCATTCCTTCCCGGGAGGAGGGAAATGAAAAGTCGTGCCCCACCTGATCCATTCAAAACCTTGAAAGGGAAGGCAACATCGTTCGTCGGGTCCAGAGGAGATACTACACACATTTCTCCTGCAACACAAAAACATTAATATTTATCAAGAAATTAAAAACGTAAAAACTTATTCTTAGCAAATGACTCTCGTGATTTTAATGAAATACAAAGTTTTCTTTAAAGAAATGAATTGCTAACTTTTAAGGAAATATTGTGAAATTGAAAGAGTTGGATCTAAAAAAATTTTGATGAATTTTACTAATATACAGGATGTCCCAAAAATGTACTTATTCTTGACTGCTAATTGCCGTTGCTAATATATGTATTTTTAATTTAAAAACATAAAAGGTTTTTTATTCAATGCCATAACATTCTATTATTATTATGATGATGTTATTTTATTTCATTTAGCTTATTAAAATTGTATCTATGTCAATATAAATCTAAATCAAAACAAATTAGGAATGGGCAGTCAAAAAGTGAGTACATGTTTGGGACACCTTGTACATGCAATGTCAACCCACCGTCCTCGTAGACTTTAAATACTTCTTTTGTTTTAAAACTAGTGATAGTTGTGGTTTTCTTTCCTGTGGCTGAAAGTCCCATGGTTGTCATGGAAGCAAAGTCGTTGACTTTATCGTAATATTCCTCGAGGTACAAACTAGATTTAGTCAAAGTGTTTTGCCAGTTGATTTTCGCTTGGAACTTATCAGGGAGGGTTGGAAGGTTCTGACCCACATCTGAAAATATAAGAAGATCTGCATGCGACAATCACTGCCACTTTGTAAGCCGTGGTCTTGCAATTATTTTTTGAATGCTTTACCTTAGAAAGTATTAGTGAAAATGTATGAATGCTGAAACAAAAATACGATCTAGAATAACAAAACATCTGGGCTAATAAAAATGCACTTTTGCATTTTTGAGAGAGAGAGAGAGAGAGAGAGAGAGAGAGAGAGAAAGAGAGGGGTGGATATTTTACCAGGACACAATCCCCACTTCTGATCCTTGTCGAAATCCGCGGTGGTGGAACACCAGGCTCCAGGCTGGGGAGGTCCGGAGAAAATACACTGATTGATCATGTCATCTTGAAACTTGAAGGGAAATACACAAGGGGCTCCGTTGCCATTGCCGCCGGTAGTTCCTGGTGTAAATTGGAACAGGTTTGATCAGTAGAATGCATTGACTATATTTTATATTATCCTTCAAAACTTGTTTTTCTCCAGAAAATTACATTCAGTTTTAGAATTTTTTCAACGGAGTTTGAAATTGCTGGAATATTAGGTTAGATTTCTATGTAAAAAATCCCCAAAACCAACCAACACCACGTGCGGTTATAGATAATGATGGAATTACAGAGAATATATTGCTGAAGAAACAAAAACACTTCAGAATATTTTAGAACATAATTTCAATACTCAACAGATAATATATACTGACAAAAAAGTGTTGATATTGTTTTCTGGTTTGTTTTTTATTTTGCATGACATCTTTGTCAGACGTGATATTATTTGATATTATTAACCAAAATATCTCACAATAGAAGACTGGATATTTTTATCACTCAATGACAAACCTTTCTGATCAATAAAGCCAAAAGTTTTTAATCTTCACTCAAAAATAACAATGATAAAAAATATTCCTCACTAAGTATTGACTCTGTATATATTTACGTATGCTCGGTCAAATGAAAAGTTTTATTACCTGCACAATTTCCCCATTTCTTGTCTTTGTCGTAATCCTGCGTAGTGGCACACCACGGTCCCTGCTGGTCCTTTGTGCTGATACAACCTGTTGTGTTTACACTCTTGTACATGTACCATGGACTGCATGGAGCTCCGTTACTGTTGCCATTGATGGTTCCAGCTAAATATTATATTATATCATATTATATTATATTATATTATATTATATTATATTAATAGAGTATAATCTCGAGAGAGCTATGGACAGGGCCCAGTTAGAGAACTCGCTACAATACATTAAAAATTGTGCTAAACTTTCGTCTCTATGTTTATATCACAGCTATTTTAGCCCTCCTCCCCTCCCCAACTGGTCCTAGGTCGCGTTTTTTTATAGAAGATTTAAGGCATCGATTGCCACTCACGTTAACAAATGTTGAACGCTTATATAAATAGCCAATACCGAGATTTAGGGATTTGGGCATTTTGTTGCCTTGGAGTTTGGTTTTAAACGCGTTTTTTTTGTCTAAATCAATCGTCCGTTCAAAAAACTGCATATTTGAATATTTTGCTGGTAACTTGTATTGCTTGTGACATAAGTATTATTAGATAAAGAAAAAGATACGGGTATGAAGGAGTGCAGCTGAATGTTAAAGGTTAAGGCGCGAGGGCAAAATATGTGTCACAACCAACTGCCTCAGCCCCTTTTCCAGACAACAAATACATATATCTCCTGCCCATTATTTTCCCCCTCGTGTATCGAAACTATCCGGTACACAAAACTCGAGTTGTTATTCCTTCTCAGCTTCCCGGAGTTCAAAAGAAGGGGAAACCTCAGATGCTATGTGAGCAATGGTATAAGTAGACCTTCTTTTCATTTACTGCCCCATCCCACCCCAAACTTCCCGTTTCACTGGAAGTATTTCACAAGCAAATAAAGCAGAGGCTACAAATGATGCCAGAGTAGGTGTTAAATGTGCCAGAGTAGGTATTAAATGCTTTTGGGTTAATCAGTGTTTTTATCACATCTCCTCCATTGAAGTTACATATTGTATTATGATAAGAATGGACCAAGAGCTATATGGAAGTAGAACGACGAGACGATGAATGGGCTTCCACTATAAATAACGATGTGTTCATGTTATATTTACTTAGATCGCCTATTTCAGTCAATTTTAGGTACGGTGATTAAAATCATATTAAATTATAAAAAAATGTCAACCGCATCACTCTTGTCAATTGGCAGTCTCAGAACTCGGTTTAATGTTATAATAAAACTTCTTAAAAAGCAATACTAGAGCATCTTAAAATGTATACTGTTTGGGATATGTTTATAAGGTCTGTGCTGGAATGAAAACTTGTATTGAGTTACTTTGAAGAAAAAATGATTGTGTGCATGCGCGAGTGTTATGGATGGTCTGTTTACGGCTTTAGTTGCTTTATGTGTGATAAATCATGCTAATTAAGTCTCAATTGATTGCTTTGATCAGAAGTTTGCAGATGATGCTCTTTTAACTTACGTAAATATGGGAGAGGTACGCAGACGTTCGGGTCCGGCACCCCCGCTAGAGCCACCACTGTGACGAAAGCGTAGACCGACAACTGCAGAATGACTCTCATCTCTAGAAAGCAATGCGCAAAATATAAGATTTTCTGGCTCAAAAATGTTACCCTCGACCAGGGTCACATATTATATTATGTGGCCTTTTTTTCACAGTGCAGAGAATTACAGTCAAATTAACCAGAGACATATCAGATAATATCTAGTGAAAAATCAATGAAATCAATGGCCCTGGTAGAGGGTACAAAAATGCATTATTTCGGTTATTGTACTAAACCGATTGGTAATACTACGATTAATACTATATCGCCCCTTTCTCCACCCTGCAATGGTGGATGGTCTACAAATCCAGACTCCACTGAGGTATTTTGGATGTTAAGTATTTACAACAGGTTTGAAAGCATCAGTGGAACGCCTTCTGGTGATGAAATTAGCTTATAGGAACATTATTTTGCAAGATTATAGAAAAAAAGAACAGGCTCACGACAGATATGATGTTCAAAACACTACAATGTTTTTTTTTCTATCCCATTTGGGAATCTTCCATTTGCTCCAATACTATCATTTCACCTAATAATAACCATCTAATACTCTCATCATCAAAAGTGCAATCTATATAAAACAATTAAAAAACTTTACCTGCTTCTTCATGAATCCAAATTGCAGCAAATGTATAAAAAAAGGGGGAATGTTTATGAAATTAGCTCCAGTTACGGCCCCTTCGAAACAGCCTCTAATAATGATTTTAGTCGATGACCCATTTAGAAATCCCATGACCAGCAGATAAAGGACTCATCTGTTGATTTTGTAATAATTATTAAACCCGCCTGACAATGCGAGCACAATGCTTATCCTCCATCAACTGTTGGTCCGTCGGCACTTGCCTCAGTCACGTTACCCACTAATGTTGCCCCGAGTAGTCTGAAGAAGTCGGTGAAATAGATAAGTAATGCAATGATATCATCCTTGTATCTATTTTGTGGGGCGTTTACTTATATTGCTTTACATGTATAGTCCATACTGCAAATGTGTGTCGCCTTATCTACTATTTGCCCAACCTGTACACAAAAGGCTGCAATGGTAGACCATCTTCTTAACCTCTGTATTCTTCCATTTGGCGTAATTTACGTTATTTTTGAAAATCGGGATATATCTAAACCAACTTATTACCTCGGACAATGGAAGAGGTAATGGTTTTGTCACCGTTTGTCTGTGGAGAGCATTACGCAAAAAAAAAAAATAAAAAAAAAAAATAATAATAATAAGTGGATTTTAGTGAAATTTTCAGGATAGGTCACAAATTGCCCTAAGATTTGATTTTGATGAAGATCCATTGATTAAATTAAGTAATTAATTATATAAAGATTTTAATGAAATTTTCAGGTTAGGTCAGAAATGGGTTGAGTAAGTAATGATTAGATTTCGGTTATGATCCATTTATTTATCAAATTAATTATTTAATGCAAAAATTTTAAGGATAGGTCAGAAATGGACCAATTTTATGAAATTTTCAGGAAAGACATGGTCAGAAATGGATTAAGAAAGAAATGATTAGATTTTGCTGATGATCCATGAACTAATTAATTAATTGATCTATAAATAAATAAATAATTACTTATTTGTCTTGGCAGAGGTTGTGCTCCCCGAGTGCTCTCCAGGTAATAAAACGTTTTGTCTGGGAGCAATCATGGATAAAAATGTACTAATACAAAAGCTATTTTATGTGCAAAATTAAAAAATAAACTATAAATTTCTTCGTCTTAGACTGATATTTCTAATCAAAAAATTATCACAAACACAAATTATCCTCAATGCAATCGAATGTGCGGCATGGGTGCCATAACAAATAAAATGAACTGTATTAATACAGAAGAATTACAGTCTCTCATTTCCTTGTTGATGGCAAACTCCAATACCATATACATAAAAACACCATTGCCTTTTTTATTTCAGTTTTATTATGTGTCTACATTTTATTACTGTGATATGTAAGAAATATACAACCTAATGGTAATGAATCTGCAATCACATACATTATCACTCTTTCTATTTTGATTCTCTACAGTCCTGAGGCGAGGCAGTGATTATTGTAAAAATCGGTCACACACGGCTTGCTGCTATCCAATATTAAAACAACTATGTGGAAAGGTGGTGATGGGGTGGGCTTCTACTTTATCCATATTTGACCTGAGCCCCCTTTCCTTCTAAAATAAAATAATACTATAACTAAACAGTAATTTTCATAATAATAAGCATCATAATTTGATTAATTGTAAAAAATAAAATGTCAGGATATCAAGTGCATACATGTGCAAAATTTTTATAGAATTTAGGAATACCAGTGTTTGATATATGAAGTAATCATTTCAGAACAAATACATATTATGATTAATACCAAATGTATATATGATTATCATAATAACAATAATGCAAAAATTAAAATATATTCTAGATCAGTCTTTAAGTACTTATTGATCATATGTAAAATAAGTTCTGTATATGAATAAATCCAATAAATCAGTAACACTCTAAAATACAAATGTATTCAGTAGTGCTGTACCACTATATACTTTGGCGTTTAATAAACTTATCCCATTTTAGCACCTGTTAAGCATTAAGAGCGCGTCCAATGAGAAAGCCAAACAGATCAGTCAGAAGGCGGCAAGGTGGGGGTCAGCAGATTTTAATAATTTTTGGTGTGGTAAACCATCAACATGAAAGATATTGTGAGCCACTGGCTTTCTTATTTTGGATCATTAGTTTTAGAGATATGGGGGAAGGTCTTTTATCCGCAATTTTGCCAAAATACAGCATTTTTTAGCTCTTGAAAAGTGATAATTTTAAATATTATTTTAAAAAATCATGTACATCATAAGGAATTATTTAGGTATGCCATATGATGGGTTAAGGAAAGACCTTTAATACCCAGTACAGATTTTTCGAAAGGGCACTGTCATGACCACACAAGGTTGATTCTAATAAGGCATGTTTTCCGTATGCTTGACACCCTCCCCTTCTTTAAATGCACACATCTTCTTTTTTGCAGGTTGTATCCATATAATTTTGGTATGTGCTGATAGAAAAGGGTTGCAAAATAAATTTTATGAAATAAAATCTGTGTTAAACCTTGTAAAATGAGAACTATAACAATTTTAAAAAGGGCCTAAAAACGAATATTTTTATACTACTGAAATGCTAATCAGTTTCTTCAACTAAATTAATAAGTCAAAACCATGTATAGGTTTGTGAAAAGCCTTTAAACAATCATGTTTGCCCTGCAGACAAACGTATGAAGCAAAAATACATTTTTTAAATTTGTTTATGTTGTAGAAACTAAATGTAAAATAACAATGCTAACTCTGTGACCTATTTTCAACATGGCGGGTGCTAGGATTATCACCGGAGCAACTGTGGAGAAAAGCACATCGCCTTTACAGTGCTAAAACATAATGCTTTCTTAATTTTATGAAGAACACGCACTAGAGATGCTTAGGTACATCTCAGAAGGATTGGTGTGCACCAGAATATCACAAGAAATGGCCATAGCAGCTGGTCGTCCTTAGAATGTGCGTTTTTTTTTTTTGTTGTTGTTGTTGAACCACGTCTTCAGACTGTTGTCAGGCTTGGGTTCCTCAATATATCCAGCTCATCGATTTAGCTCTGGATGTTTGTTGTAAGGTAAGTGATCATATATATATATATATATATATATATATATATATATATATATATATATAAACAGACAAAGTCGGTTCTGTCACTATTTCAGGTACTATGTAGTAATAACCTACTCTGTTGTTGGCCAGTGGTGGCATACATATACTAGAATCAGATACACTGAAAACTCAAACCAGTTTAAATAATAAGTTTGAATATTTTTAAGTAATTTAAAGAATATAAGCAGAATTAAAAGATGTTCTGGTATATTTCAATTCATAGAATTTTACTTGATTTCTATTTCTTGGTAAATATGTCTGCTGAAAAGAATTAACTGTGTATCTAACTTATGAAGTATATTTGTGCATTAAATTCTAGGGCTTTGTTACATGTGTTATCATAACACAAACAGTTAAGAGACAGCTTGTAGACAGCTTCAATAGAAATTTCTTACCCAGAATCAAAGGTATGTAACACACATTCAGTTTCAAGTTTTGGCATTTTAGGGGATGTTACTTGTGCCAGTTTTTTATATTTTAGTTTCATATGCAGATTTATATGTGTTTACAATGAAGTTGAAGTTAACCACTTGGCTTTATGTGACTTTGTAACACACTGTGCTTCAATTTTCAAGACTTACACAGAACACTTGTACAACTAAAAGTACTTAACTTAGTAAAATCAGGAAGACTTTGTGGTCCATTATGTTGTTCATGTTGCTTTGCAAGGGGGTGTGCCAGACAATTAAGCTGATTACAATGACTGAGCCTGAGTGTGATACTCCGCTGAGATAGATTGATCCTGCTACAGTAGTTTCTATTCTGGACACAGTAAGCCTCTGTTGTAGTAAAACATTTATTGATGTTATGTTTATTTTTCAGATTTTACATCCTAGGCCTGGATGTGAACCTTGACCTGGACAATCGTACAGATAATAATAGAAGAGTCACCTGAAATTGCACAGGCAAATTCATCAGATTCAGATGTGAGCACCAACTCTGTCTTTCTATTATGAAATTCTGGATTTGAAATTGGATTTCCATTGGATTGACAAATATTGACAATTGACAGTTCAGTCACACTAAACTATAGTGGCATGTTGCTTCAAGTTACCACACTTGTTCTAAGATTGCTGAATTATCATTACTGTCTAAGGAGACCCTAGATCTCTCAACCAGAAGAAGAAGCTTGGGGATCAATCAGTAATAAGATTAAAATCTGTGGAACACTACCCATCACTGTTGTGTTCAGTATATGGAAAAGATGACCGNCGGAATTCTGGATTTCAAATTGGATTTCCATTGGATTGACAAATATTGACAATTGACAGTTCAGTCACACTGAACTATAGTGGCATGTTGCTTCAAGTTACCACACTTTTTCTAAGATTGCTGAATTATCATTACTGTCTAAGGAGACCCTAGATCTCTCAACCAGAAGAAGAAACTTGGGGATCAATCAGTTATAAGATTAAAATCTCTGGAACACTACCCATCACTGTTGTGTTCAGTATATGGAAAAGATGACCGTGATGTTGGAACCTTGGAGATTCATAGCTTGATTTCACTCCTGTGAAAAGTAACTGCTTTGTTCTTTTACTGTCCAATTGATAATATGAAAATAAAGTACTCCTCCTGTCATTGTATGTGGCTGACTCTGTTTTAATTTTCTTTATAGAAAAAGAATATAGGTATCAAGATATCACATGTATTTACAAAACCTATGAATCATTTGAAAGGAAAAAGAATGGTTGAAAAATGCAATATAAACCATTTCAGGTGGATTAATTAGTGTTGCGCTTGAGAAAACTGATAAAATGAGACAGTCATTCCCTTTTACCTTTAGAAAAATCCTTTGTAATTTTTTTTTCTCTATTGCTCCCTGAAAATAAGGTATATATACACAATGCTGATGACATTGGATATGCACAGTAATAACTCATTAAATGGGGGGGTGGGGGGGGTGGTGAATAACTTATCACTAGTAATTTAAATTTATTCAGAAGTTGTATGGCTCTGTTTGAAAAGAATATTATCTGAGCAACCCTGTATTACAGATCTCAAAATAAAAAACCTGCAAAAATGGGCCTCTTGATTATTTTGAGGAATTATGGTAACTGTATTTTGGGACAGAATTGATGGCAGCCATCTTGTATTTATAAAAATTGGATAGATTTGCCCTTATCAAAGCATTGTTTGAATTCTTGGCTGTGAGTCTTTGATTAAATTTGATTATTGGAAGGTATTATCTCAAAATGTACTGTTTCGGTTGTTTGGTTTTCTGCTAAAATTGCTTATGTTTGATGCACTTTTTCAATATCTTCTGTTGTGTTTAACACACTTTTTAAAATTTGTATGATGAGACCAATATATGCTCAGGATCCCTATACAATTTTATGGCTGTCAACCCTGCAAAAAGAGAGATATGAATGCTTGAACATTGCTTGGTAGAAAAGTGAGTTTGGGGGGTGGGGTTATAAAAATGGGCGTGGCTCGTTAGTTTGTGGGTTAAACTGAAATTAAGTAACATATTCTCAATGGCAAATGGCTGCTTTAAATAGGTAAATTATCAATTTATTTTAAAAAGTCATCAGTTTTGACATATTTGCTTATGAAGTGGCTTTATTGACCGAAGCTGAAAATCAAGCCAAAAATGGCCAAAACATTTAATATTATATTATAATTATATCCAATTATTTCTTTTGGGATTGTTGCCTTCAATGTGAATATCTCCTATGTATGCAACTATATTATGAATTCGGTTGAAATCTGTTGACCCCCACCTTGCCACCCTCTGACTGGTCTTATCATGGACACACACTTAAGGCTTTAACTTGACAAAATATGTTTTGCTTTGTAACGTGCACCCTTCAGTCTTGCTATTGCGGATGGCCCAGCGGGACATAAATGCACCAAGCTGATATTCATCCCGACTTTAGACTTTAAAAAGTGTTTTTTTTTTTTTTTTTTTTTTTTTTTTTTTTTTTTTTTTTTTTTTTTTTTTTTTTTTTTTTTTTTTTTTTTTTTTTTTTTTTTTTTTTTTTTTTTTTTTTTTTTTTTTTTTTTTTTTTTTTTTTTTTTTTTTTTTTTTTTTTTTTTTTTTTTTTTTTTTTTTTTTTTTTTTTTTTTTTTTTTTTTTTTTTTTTTTTTTTTTTTTTTTTTTTTTTTTTTTTTTTTTTTTTTTTTTTTTTTTTTTTTTTTTTTTTTTTTTTTTTTTTTTTTTTTTTTTTTTTTTTTTTTTTTTTTTTTTTTTTTTTTTTTTTTTTTTTTTTTTTTTTTTTTTTTTTTTTTTTTTTTTTTTTTTTTTTTTTTTTTTTTTTTTTTTTTTTTTTTTTTTTTTTTTTTTTTTTTTTTTTTTTTTTTTTTTTTTTTTTTTTTTTTTTTTTTTTTTTTTTTTTTTTTTTTTTTTTTTTTTTTTTTTTTTTTTTTTTTTTTTTTTTTTTTTTTTTTTTTTTTTTTTTTTTTTTTTTTTTTTTTTTTTTTTTTTTTTTTTTTTTTTTTTTTTTTTTTTTTTTTTTTTTTTTTTTTTTTTTTTTTTTTTTTTTTTTTTTTTTTTTTTTTTTTTTTTTTTTTTTTTTTTTTTTTTTTTTTTTTTTTTTTTTTTTTTTTTTTTTTTTTTTTTTTTTTTTTTTTTTTTTTTTTTTTTTTTTTTTTTTTTTTTTTTTTTTTTTTTTTTTTTTTTTTTTTTTTTTTTTTTTTTTTTTTTTTTTTTTTTTTAATCAAAGTGTTATAACATCAGAACGTTAGCATGTTTTCATACGTTAAGAGAATGATAGGAATTGTAGAAAAAGCGACTCATACATCAGGGATAGAAAATATCTTGCAGCACTATAATCTATATAATTCATCACCAGAAGTCTCCATTTTTCTTTTTTCTCCCACATTACAACCATCTGTTTACAACTAAAAGGTGTGAACCATACCTGAGGGCAAAGGGAGATAGTGGCCGGAGTTTGAATTTGGTTATAACTGATAAAAGTATATTCTGAAGGCATTTTCTAGCTTTCGGCAGTTTCCGCAAATGTTTGGCGTGTGTGGCGAAACGTCACTGTCGATAACACTACTGTCGATAACACTACGTCGTAGTTTGCTAAAGGCCCTATTTCACACAGACCACGAATCCTACGAATCGCCAAGAACTGACAAATTTCAGGATTCGTGAGGATTCGGGAGATTTTGCCAATTTTCTGGTCTAAAGCGACACGCTCACTATTCAGTTACGATGCAGGTGCGATAGCGTTACGAATATTCGTGGGATTCGTGAGGATTCGTGAGATTTTGCCAATTTTCTGGTCTAATTCGACACGCTCTACGATTCCGTTATGATACAGGTGCGATAGTGTTACGAATATTCGTGGGATTCGGCAGGAATCGCACGAATATTGTCCAGAAATTCACTACGATTTTTTGGAATCTGGAGTTCGTGGCCAAGACTTTGAACAGCTCAAAATTTTTGCCATGAATTCCCGATTGATCAAGAATTGCAAGAACTGACTACGATTATATACGAATCTGTTAATAACTTCACGAACTGATTACGATTCAACCACGAATCCTGGCGATTCGTGGGATTCTTGGTCTGTGTGAAATAGAGGCATAAAATTTTTTGCCACCAATTCTTGTTGGTCAAGAAGTGCAAGAACTAACTACGAATATATGCGAATCTGTTAAGAACATTACGAACTGATTACGATTCAACTACGAATCGTAAAATTTGTCAATGCATGGTCATTCGTAGGATTCGTGGTCTGTGTGAAATAGGGGCATAAGCACGCGAAGAGAGTTCAAGTCCCTGCCAGCCCTGTTATGGATTACGTAAGTTTTATAAAATTATGATAATTATAGATACATATTATTATGAAATGTTTTGGCTTATTGTTTTTGCATTTTTAAATTTTTTTATTTTTAAAATTATAAAAAAATTTGACTCGGGGCTATAAATCATGTATACTAATCTCTTCCCGCACGAAAATGCAGTAGTATCGAAGTAGCAAAGAAGCATTAACGCAGTAGTAGTGTGGAGCATATTTTCAGTATAAATGCAGTATAGCCTACTGCAATTCTACTCCAAAAAGTACATAGGTTTGTACAGAGAGGAGCATTTTTGCAGTAGATTAGCAGCATGATAGAAGCATGTTTCAAATATGCTAATTAGCTCCTAAATCGAAGCAGATTTGAAGCATGTTTGCAGTATGATTGCAGGAGTCTACTGCGCTGGAGTATCTACTGCGTTTTCGTGCGGGTTATCATGGTTTGATGTTTGATATGACGGGTATCAGCTAGTTTTCATTTGATTTAGACGAAGAAAGACCGACCTTCAAGATATCTCTGCTGAATGTTTATAACGTATACTATGATGTGTATAAATATTGATACATGACACAAACGGCATTTACAAATGTTCGATTATATCAATTAATTCATTTAAAACGTTCATATTACCGTGCGTTTGATCCACCGCGTATGATGGGTTCTCGAAACTATGCACCCTACAGTTTGCCAATATTGATGTTTGCTGGTTTATTTTGATGTGAGAGAAAGCGAGAGAAGACCCTGTACTAAGGCTTCAGTTATTATTATTATTATTATTATTCAGTCAAATTATTTCTTTTTCACTTTACATCTTAAATACAGTAAATAAAATTAAACAAAGCAGAATTAAACCTCTTTTGGTTTAATGACATTCAACTGCAGATTCAAGGGTAACAAACAAAAGCCCTATAAGGTGTCGTCCCTCACACTGTAAAAGGTGTTAATTCCGTGCTTCTGTTGTTTGGAATCATTATAATAAAATTGCCAGACCACTCGCGCTCTATTCAACTCTTTATGTCTGCCCTGCAGCCTGAGAACTTGACTGAGCTTTGTTTACATCGAGCGATTCTCTTTATAATTCAGTGTGCATGAACATGTGTGATAATAACGATTCTTATTTTTACGGATACATGATTATATAAAATTAATTCCTACAATACCCCCTATTTCAACGCCTACTCCTGGATGCGTTAATTATGGGAGATTAGAATATATTCCGTGAGGACTTAGGAGCGATGATTGTTACTGTTATACCCCCGTCACACTAGAGGCGGATTGAGGAAGAATGCCGTCGGAAAGGCAATTCTTTGCGAGTTCCTGGATAATCCAATAGCATTCTAAAAATTTCGAGTGCATTCGAAATATTTCTACATATTCTTGTGGCCGGCCCGAATGTTTTGCTCATGTTAAAAACTTTCGAAGTGCATTTCAATTGAAAAATTATCAAATGG